GTAACAGAATAAACACAGTGCAAAGAGTCCTCATGTTGGTGGAGGTTTGTGGTAGGAAATGATGGTTTCTTTCCTTAAAAGGAAAAAAATTACTCTTCAAAAAAAAGATTCCTCCGGAAGTGACATGGCGTAATTTCCCCAAATCAATGGTCAATTTCACTTTTGTTTCCCACAAGTAAGGGAGCTCAATCAATGGAGCTAGAACACCTAGCTGTGACACATCATGGCTTTCTCAATTACTGAAAACAGAATAGATTTTCTTGAATCTATTTGAACAGTTTCTACAGAAATATGAGTCTCAGAAATCCCAAGAGGAAATGTTTCTCACACACATAAATAGACCACCTAAAAAAGGCTTTTCAAAGAGAGGTTAATAGAAGAAAATTTAAATTCATCTTAAAAGACTAAAAAGCAAGTATAAAAATCAACATGAGAGTGTCTGCATATTTATACACACCAGTGAGTTTTACAAATAAGTGAGAAGCCAACTAAATTAAAATTCAAATGTGACTAAAATTTACCCACGTTATCCAAGAAAAGTTAATGTATCTCAAATCCTGAAGCTGGCACTAAAGACCATCTGCAAAATAGTGTGGCGACACAGTGAAGCACATTGCATCTCGGGCCATAGCCACCCCTGGCGTCTCCTAGCTCTCTGACGGGGGCAAAATGACCTAACCTCTCACAGCCCCTTTGCTTAAGCAGAAGGACCAGCTCACCTATCAGGTCATAGAAGGATGAAGTGAGATGGCACGAGTGCTGTGCTCTGTGCGCCTGACCGTGGACGGCTAAACTCGTACCTCTCCCCAGGTCACCTTCACATGCTCTTCTACTTTCCAGCCCTAGACAGAGCCCTGCCTGGCTGTTCTCCAAGCCATGACTATTTGCTCCCTAGCCCTCACTCAGGGCCACTCTTCTTCCCTATCCAAGGGAAAGGATAAACCTTCCTCCTGAAGCAGCCCTTTCACCATCACCCCACATAGCCAAACCCTGTAACTGTTCACACACCAACACTATGTCCTCCTAAAGCCCTTAAGACACTGAGATCAACATTTCTCAACCCTAGCATACACACTCACCAGGGAGTTTAAAGCATACTTGCTGACTTGGTCTGAAGTGTGACCTGGGCATCAGGGATGGACACGAGCTCTCCCTGCACTGAGCCCTGCGTCCCTGGACCAGCCCTTCTCTGTAGCACTCTGTACTTCCCATCCCATACTGTAATTATGAACAAATGCATGTGAACTACAAAGTCCTGGAAAACAGGATCTGTGCTTGCTTTAGAGCCCTAAGTTACCCCAAGAATTGTGACTTGAAGTACCAGGCCTCTCAGCCACATGTTGAATGCACAGATAAAGAAATAAAATTTTAGTGTTCTGGAGTACAAAATTTGAAATCATGGTCTAAAACAAAAGCCTATCGACACCTGGTAAACTAACCTCCATTTCAACAGCTCATCTGTAAGGTCTACTTGACTTAGAACTCAGCCATACACAGGGGAGGAGATAACTTATTCCAAACAGAAAGGAAGCATCGCTAAAAGAAGCTGGTACTTACTTACCACTTCATAGTCTGATAGATGGTCCCTCCCTCCCTACCTCCCACCACTCTAAACCACTCGGAGCTGTCTACACAGACTGCTATACATGCTTCTATTCCTTAAATACACACTGCAATCTCTACCTTACCCCACTCATCTGGATCTTACTACTCATTCTGGAATTATCTTCTATGATGGAAAGTCTTCCCTGAGGTCAAAGTCTTAGGTGAATATCCCTCTCTGTGCTCCTCTAGCTGTGGGAGACCACCCTGTTGATTATGCCCAAAGCAGGCTGTAAGCAGTGCAGGCTGAAAAGAGTTAATCCCACAATTGGCTTGTTTTAAAAAGTGAGTCCAACAGAAGCCCATGTGACTCATAGGAGCACTGTGGTGGAACAAGGATATGAGGTAACACAACAGCCGAGGTCAGAGTAACTCTTACCCAAATTCCATTCCCAGATATGAAAGCTTCTTAACTGAAAAGACAAGGTTAATTGTTCCCAACACAAGAATGCTTTGCCTCTTCTTTTACAAGCCTTGCCTGCATCAGCAACTTATCCCTAGCAACCACACGTGGTCCCCTCACCCCAACTTAATGAATGATTGTGTAACCAATAAATATCAGCAGTTCTGGCTGTTCAGGGTTTTTGTTTGCCCAAGCATTGACCATCCTCTCTCTCTCTCTCTCTCTCTCTCTCTCTCTCTCTCTCTCTCTCTCATTCTGTCTCTGAGTCTTCCTTCTAGCTTTGCATCATAGCATTGAGCAGAAGATTGAGATCCTCTGCAGGGGTATCCAATACCTAGCATTTGATAAAACTGTTAATCACAGCACCTATCAAAAATAAAGTATGGAGCCAGGGATTTAGCTCAGTGATTTCACCGTCTGCTGCACAAGTGCAAGGACCCGAGTTCAACCTCCAGTACCAAAAAATTAAAAAATTTAAAAAAATAAAGTATGGCTTTATGTACTCCCCTATAGGTTTTTTGAGAGGGAGGGGACTCATCACTGTAGCCTGTATCATTTTATATACTGTGTGGCACATAAGAAAAGGAATGAATGAAGAAAAGAGATTCAATTTGTTCATCATAGAAATCATTTAGTTGATGCTATGGTCTCTTCCATCTTCATTTTCTATTTGAATAAAGGGTCAATAAAAACAAATGAAATGTATAATCAAGGTTTAGATCCACCCAGCCTTGGTAGTACATGCCTTTAATCCCAGCCCTCCAGGAGGCTGAGGCAACAGAATAGAAAGTTCAAGCCTAGCATAGGCAACTTAGCAACTTAGCGGAACTCTGTCTCAAAGCAAAATAAAACCAAAAGGAAGGGGTATGTAGCTCAGTGTGAACCCCTGAGTTCAAATCCCAGTATTGAAGAAAAAAAGGATTTAGATTCACATTCTACATAATGAATTCCTTCTGCTACAAAAGATTTCCCTGACATATTACTTTGATATTTAAGCTTAAGGAGAGTACATTGTTACACTGCTTATTATGGTAAGAGAAATTTCTTTTAAAAAGTATTAAGTGCTTATTCACATCCCTACTTTTAATACAAAGTAATACATGCTGGGCCGGGGATTTAGCTCAGTGGTTCCGCCTGCCTCGCAAGCGCAAGGACCCGAGTTCGATCTCCAGTACCAAAAAAAACAAAACAAAACAAAGTAATACATGCTTTTAAATAGGTAAAGAACTATAGACAGTTGAGCTACAGGTAAATGAGTAAGAAAACTTTTACATTTTAAGACCTAAATCCCAGTAGCTAGAGACACTTAATTTATCACTATTACTTAAGAAAAACCTTGATGCAGCATAGAATGCATACTAAAAAACATAATAGCAAATAATTTAAACTTTGCATGTTTATTTAGAAAGTTTTATTTGATTACAATAAAGTTATTAAGATACACAACATAGACTAATGATTAAATATCTTAATTAGGCATAAACAATTGCATATAGTAATTACACCAATTTTACTTTCAAAATGTAAACTAAAGCCAAGAAAAGAAAGAAAAGTTACCCCTACTGTTTTTGTTTTGGTTTTTGAGCCAGGATCTCACTATATTAAGTTCAGGCTGGCCTTGAATTCACTATGTAGCCCAAAATGGCCTCGAACTCCCTGAGATCATGCCATGCAGCACCACACCCAGCTCCAACTGTTTTTAAACAAGGCAAAATCATTTTCATTTTTTTTTGTTTCTCACTTTGATAGTTTTCTCTCCCTTAACTTGCACTAACATTGTAGTTTTCCCACGTCACATGTGATTTTATAGTGTATCATATTAAGAAAAAAAGAGCTCTGGAACTTACTCCATAGCAATGTGCAATTCAATTCCCTTAATCATGGATCTTTTAAAAAATCCAAAAGGAAAACTCAAAATATTAAAAGCCCTTCCAAGAGGGCCAGGGATTTAGCTCAGTGGTTCCGCCGCCTGCCTCGAAAGCGCAAGGACCCGAGTTCAATCCCCGGTACCAAAAAAAAAAAAAAAAAAAAGCCCTTCCAAGAAACCTGAAGCAATGACCTGTACAACCAGCAACAATGTCAGACGTCCTGATACCCTGTTTTTATATATATATATATATATTTTGAGAGTCACAGATGTAGGAGATCTTAAAGATAGGCAACAGGGAAAAGGCCTAAAAGGATTTTTATGAAAGCATTTTCTCTTCGATACCTTTGTCTTAATGCCATTGCATGTTGACTAGTAAGTACATTTGGATGCAAAGATATGGGGTTATAAGTACACTAAAGCATGGTGAGGTCAGAGAAGTGTTTCCCAACCTTAAAGTTCTCATGATAGCCAGTTGCTTCAACATAGAGGAAATGCGGTTTCAAAACCAATATACTGAGAGATGAGAATACATGTTAAGGCAAACTTGGTTTTGACGCATAAAGTTACTCCTCGCTGTGTTTTGGGGCAGAAAGCTGTGGCTCTTCCCAACGTCGCTTATATAGATTCCAAAAGTAACAAGACATGCTTTTAAAACACAGTAACCAGAACCTGCTGAGGCTTCCCTGAGCCCACTCCCACCCTCAAAGTCCAGAATGGGGAACTTTTCCACTACTTTCATACGCCGATTCAGAAAAGTTAAAGTCTTCCGAGAAAAGGCATAGGAGAGCTTCTCTTCGGTTTGAAAGGATCCCAAGGTCCCTAAAGCCCTAAACATCCCCTCAGTTAATCATGACGTCTACAGCCCAGCCCAGGCTTCTGCCTTTTTTGCGCACTTACTAGACTACAAAACTCTGGAGACTCTTGACTCAGAGGTAAAATCTCAAAAGCCTCAAGAAATAACGCGGAAATGGGAAAAATTCACAGCCAAGTGCAAACTTGCTACCACACCAATAATGTACGTCACACCCTCACATTGCAGCAAGGCCACCACTCACCCGCCAGTCTCCCGAGAAACCTAGACTCAGGATTTTCAAAATCAAAAGTGCAACAAGCTTGCTTACTTACAGGAAAGGAACTCAATCTCCCACTTCAGCAGGACCCGTACCTGCTGGGCGCTGCCATTTTGACAGCCAGCAGGACCCGCCGCGGAGATCCCTCCGCCGGTCGCCCTGAGCAAAGCCTGAGCGCCAGGAGGCCACTGTCTGTCACCTCACTGCCCGGGGCGCCGTATTCCCTAGCATAGAGAATGTTCTCAAAACCAAAACCCGCTTACGCGGCTCTGCCAAAGTAATTGTCCTCCACATTGCGCGCAGCCTCTCTCTCAGGCAATGCCAAGGGCAGCCAAAGCCGTCGGGGGCGGGGAGTCGGGGGCGGGGCGCCGGGAGCAGCGCGCTCGGTAACCCGGGCAACGCGGGCCCCGACCAGTGCAACCTGGAGCCTCACCTCTGACCTTAGGGTCTCCGCCACGCCCCTGGGCGGTCCTCCTGGCCGCCGGGTGACCCTGCTGCTCACCTTCGGAGCTCCCGCCTCCTTCACCCCTACCCACTCTCCAGGAGCGTGGCTCCGGGGCGGAGGCGGCCCCAGGCCTCGAGCCCCTCGGCGCAACCCAGCCGGCCGTCCCTGTGGGGAGCGGGGCACCTTCCCGCGCGCCGCCCCTCAGTGGCCCGCGGTCCCCGGCGCCGCCTCCCCAGGAGCGGGAGGCCGAGCGCCTTCCGAGGCGGCGCGCACCAGCGCGAGGGCTGCCCGCCAGCGAGGCTGAGCCGCCGCGTGTTATTTCATTCGTGATTTTTGCAGAGGCTGAAATTTGGGTTGCGTCAAACTCGGAATCTCCGCGAAGAGGACCTTTTTGGGTTGTTTTTCTGGCTTGTTTTATTTTGTTTCCCAAAATGGCAGCCTCCAGCCGCGCACAAGTGCTAGATCTGTACCGGGCGATGCTGAGAGAGAGCAAGCGTTTCAGCGCCTACAACTACAGGTGACCGGGCGGGCGGCGGGGGGCCGGCTGGGAGGGCGGGGCCGCGGACGGCCCGGGATGTCCCCGAGGCGGGGAGCCGCTGGCCCGCGCCGGTGGGCTGGGGACAGTGACTCCGGGCCCCAAAGCGTGCCGTGCACACCGTTGTGGCCCTCTGACTCCTGAGGGGTAGGAGCCGGAGTCCTGCCCTTCGGATTACTGAGGAAGCGGTTGGACTCTTGGGCCGCGTTCCACCCACGTGGATACTTGGGTCATGCTGTGGGAGCATTGATCAGCGTCGTTGCTGCGGCGGGGGCGGGGGGGGGGGGGGGGAGTGAAAGCTGCAGATGTTTAAGATAGGACCCCCGGTGTGTTTCATAGACAACTTCCTTGACAATTGCAAGAGTTTGGAGTGGTAGTGGCCAGTCGGTAGCCCAGACTACAAAGCTGCGCATGCTCTACCGCGCCCTTTCTTCCCCAGGTATTTTAATTAACCGTTTTGATTGCAAAACTCCATTCCACTTTGGGGACGGGGTCCCAGGTGCATACACAAGTAGTGGTGAAGGAGAAAGGGTTTCACAAGTTTCCTGGAGCTGAATTTCACTTATCCTGAGGCACAAGACAGGGAGCCTGCCATAGGACCTAAACAGGAGAGTGAGTCTAAGCGGGTTTTTTTAATAACCTTTTTAACTGACAACAAAGTAAAAAAATTTTTGTAATGAAGAACTACATGAGGTTTTGACACATGTACTGGTGTAACTCCTTCGTGAAGTAAACTTGCACTTTAAATACAGCCCACTTTTTCCTTGGGCACCCCGTTGCGTTTATTCCTGCTTTGTATATGCCTTGTCTCTAGGCAGCCTCTGCTTTCTCATACTTTCTGCTTCCATATAACTTCTGACCCATCATTTCTACATGTATCTTATGGATTTTATATATGCATTTTTCAGATTTGGTGTCTTTACTAACTACCTGAATGCTTTGAGTTTGAGCCGTAATCCCAAAAGGAAGAACTTGGTGGAGCAGCTCATCTCTTAACACCAGGCTTCACCCTAGGTGACTGTTGAGGCCATGGATGGTTATCCCAGACCCAGCGCCTACCCCTGGAAACACAGCTGGTTAGACACGCTGCTCTCCCCTAGCTGTGTGATCTGGCAGGCCCTGTGCTGACCCAGTATGACCTCAGGGGACTGGAACATGAAGCCTGTCCATCCTGGGTTCAATCTCCAATTCTAAAGACAAAACGCCCCCCCAACCCCCAAAACAACCCAGCTGTAAAAAATGACAGGCAGGGTGCACGTGTGAGGCGTGCTGCAGAATGGAGCAGAGCAGACGGTCTGTGCTGAGAAAATACAGTGACAGCCAAAAATTTTTAGAGACCCTCCCAGAAAATGTACCCACCCTACAAATTTTACAACAGCACCTAGGGCATACCAGTGACAACATATAGGCAGATGGTTAAAAGAAGCATTTCATGGGAAAGCAAGATTTTACTTAATGACTGGCTTTGGAAGAATAAGGGTATAAACACTAGGCATATCCGTAAAATTTTAGCAATAACTAACACCTAATAACAAGTTCAAATTATTGAGGAAGCACACAAAATGTTCAAGTAAAAAAGAAAAGGAAGCCAATGTATTCACCAGTCTGGAGGATATTTTGTCACTTTTAATTCAGTCAGAATAAACAGGCCACAGATCAGCAGGCAATTCGCACACTGTAGGCACAGTGACAAAGAGAGGGTACAGGTGAGAGCAGTGTGGGAAGGACCAGTCACTGCCCTCAGAGTGTAACCTTGGATAAGTCACTTGACCTCTGAAAGCCTCTGAGAGTTTTCCTGTCTGCAAAATGGGACCATTGCACTTAGACAATCTCCAGGGCCCCTTTCATTTGTAAAGTTTCTTTGAGAAGTAATTCATAAGCCAGTAAGGCAGAGTAAATAAATTTATTTCAAGTAAATAAGTAAATTTATTTCAAGTTGATTTATTTCAAGTAAATAAATCAACAGGAGTAAACTGCATAAAATATTTTTCAAGGTTGTACTTAGTAGTTTCAGGGTAAGTAACAATAAGGTAACTTAGATTTAGAAAATAATTGGTCAGGCCAGGTATAGTGGCACACCCCTGTAATCCTAGCACTGAGGGAGACTGAGACAGGAGGATTGCAAGTTCAAGGCCCACCTGGGCACCTTAGCAATACTTTGTCTCAAAATAAAAACTGTGAAGGACAGAGGGATGTACCTCAGTGGTAGAGTGCCCTGGGTTGGATCCCCAGTATCACAAAAAAGTAACTGGTTGGGTAACTGAATATGTACCTTCAAGCTAAATCTGTTATCCAGATAACCTGCTCCTTCTATGGCCTTTTACTGTGTCAAAAGGCTGTGTCCTTTGGATTTCAAGAATAGACCCTTCCCTGCTCTCCAGTCACAGCAGTTATTTGAACTGATGGCAAATCAATAATAGCCACATCCATCGATGACTTCTGTGTCCCACTATTCTTTGATGTTCATTTCATTGATTAACATTTAGTCTTGACAACAACCCTCTGAGGTAGGTTCTACTCTTAAAACCTAGTAAGGAACCCAAGGCATACAGATTACTGAAGCCATCACACTCAGCTAGTGTTGGATAAGCCATAAAAAGCAGACAAAAGCAAACTGAAACTGTGAAAATTGTGAGGCCTAAAGTAATCACAGCAATGACATAATTTGCAGTTCTCCTCTCAGCCTTAAACATCTGTGCTACACTTACTAGCACAGAGCCTCTCTGCCCTGCTCCATTCTCCAGTGCGCCTCATGTGCACCCTGCCTGTCCTTAGTTACAGCTTGGGGGTGGGGTGGCAGTTTTGTCTTTAGTCCTGGGGATTGAACCCAGGGCCTTGCACTGAGCTATATCCTCAGCTCTTTTGCATGTTTTTTTTTGTTTTGAGACAGAGTCTTACTAAGTTTCCCAAGCTGGCCTCAACCTTCCACTTGTGCCTCACCTCCTGAGTAGCTGGAATGACAGGCATGTGCCACGGGACTCGGCCATTTACAGTTTCTTAACTCATTTATACCAAAGGTTGCAGTTTTTTTGAATTTTTGCATGAAATTCATTTATGTTACCTAGAAAATTCAAGGAACAAGAATTTGAAGGAAAAAAAATTAAAGCTCTTCTGTTGTGGACATTCCAGAAATGGAAGAGTAGGCACTGAAGGCAAATGGGCCTCCAGGCCTTTACAAGTACTGTTCAGTCTGGCTTGCCCTTTACCACCCTCGTCCACATCTCCTCCTCGTTAAGATTCAGCTCAACTCTGGCCTCTCAACAAAGTTGTTCTCATTCTCTTCCTTCCGCTGCCCTCAACCCTGTCCATTTCCCACCCAGACAGGCCCAGTTCATAGGGTTCTCATAACTCAGTACTTCCAGCAGACTTCTGCAGCCTCCTTTATCCATGGCTGTGCCCCACCCTAGAGGCAGAAGCGTGATGGCATTGGGCCCAGCAAGGCACCGCCATCCATGGCTTCACAGAGCCCTGTGGGACACAGGTGGACAGAATTCTGCATGGCGTGGAAGTGGTGTGACCAGAGCAGGCCCGGCGTGTAGTCAAGACGTCCTCTCCGAAGGCTCCATTGGCTCCAAGATGTGGGCTGCCTCATGTGCACAGGTGCCAGTGACAGTGGCTGCTGGAGAGTTGGCTGTGGTTCTGGGGGTGACAGATGAGACTCGGGTTGGAAAAGGCCACGCTGAGGAGCTGAGGCTCTATTCTCAGGTAACAGGCAGCCACAAATGAGCTTTAAGCTGTGAGGTGGGTGGTCAGATGTGTGTTTTGGAAGAGGTTACTCGAAGATTTCTGAAGGAGCACAAGGAAGGTCGCCAAAGGGAGTCAAGGATAGCCGTGCTGAGGAGAAACTAGGACCCTAACAGACAGCAGTTGTGGAAAACAGACATGTTTGGTAAGCTAGTACAGGGAAGAATTTTTGGAACTCTCGGGATAGGATGCAGTACAGGGAAGCAGAGTCTAGAAGGCTACCCAGGTTGAGCCAAGGCACAGAGGCAGTAGATAAATACGGAAGCTGCGTCGTTAACTGGCATAGAAAAAACAGCTAGTGGTCTCGTGGAGTGAAGGTTCTTGCTCGCGTTTAGGGCGTGGTGGGAATGAATGGCACTGGGACACGCAGCAGAAGTGGCTGGTCCAGGCCAGGAGGCGCAGAGGAGCTGCAGTGCTGGAGTACTGAGCACCCTGTGGCCGGCTGACCCCACGCAGGTCCGCTCCACGCTCTGCCCTGCAGTTTCTCACCTGTGAAAGGGGAATGGTAATTCACGGCCTCTTCCGCCCTGTGGACCTCTGGTTGTCAAGAACGCTAACGTGGACGGCGTCACCGCTCGTGTAGCGTTAACACCACCTCTTCACTTTCTCAAGCAAGGCAGCTACAGCAAAGGCCTTAAGGCCACGTGTTCTTCCCCCGTGAAACAAATGGACAGATGAGTTTGTTCCCCGTATTTCCTGAAAAGCCAGTGTGCGTGTGTATGCATGTGTACGTATTTGTATGTGTGTATATAACTACACCAGGGCCTGAGAGGAAACACAGTACAAACACAAGATGGTCCTGCTATTCTAAGACTGGGCATAAGGATAGCACAAGAAACTCCACAGAAAACAGACAGATTGAAACAGTGCCCGAACCCTGGAGATTTCAGGACCGAGGGGATTTCAAGAGACATTCTTCTTAATGAGATTTTGGTTACCTTTTCGAAGAATGTTTCTAAATAACATTGGAGCGATTATGTCAGTCTTCTAGGCCTACCTTCCATTTCAATTTTTTTTTTTTTTTTTTTTACCAGGGATCGAACTCGGGTCCTGGTGTATGGATGCTTATAATCCCAGCACTTGGGA